GGGGGGGCGTTGTTCCGCTGCCTCCTGACAATGTACCAGCTCTGCCCCCTAGTGACACAGTGAGATTCTGCACTGTCCAGTGGGCGAGCAAACTGCTCCTTTTCCAGGGAGGTCTGAAGCCCAGCCTTGGGGAGACGACCCTCCAGGTTTGTCCTTCCTTGAGTACTCACTCCCCTGAAACAAGAAATTCCCGTTCCAACCAAACTCCCCGTCACTCATGTCAGAATTACACAGCAAATTTGGGCAGCTAACATCCAGTTGAGTAAGGGATGGTCAGAAAAGAGGGCTCTGGGGCCAGACTGTCTGGGTTCGTATCCTGGCTCTGCCCTTTTGGCAGGACATATGCATGTTTTGTAATGTCTCTCCTCAGTTTCCACATCTGTTAAATGGGCACGGTAATAGCCCTTACTTCATAGGGTCAGAATGAGGGTTAAGGGAGATAATACAGGTCAAGTATTTAGCGTAGTACCTAACAGGGTACCTGCTCAGCTCTGGTCAGCTGCCGCTGTTACTGTTAATGCTTTTATTACCATCCCCTTGTACCCCTAACCAGATGGTAGACTCTTAACTGAGAGCAAATCTCATCTCAGTGCTCTACCGTCCCCAGGGTTGAGTATCTTGTTATGTCCGTATTACATGAGCAACAGGAACTCCAGAATAAGTGAGCTGCTGAGGAGTGTTCTGTTTGCTGCAGAAAGAAGTGAGGAGGAAGCACATTCGTTTGCACATGGAAGGCGCGCTGACGGCCAGGGACAAGGTTGGAGTGCAGGATTTTGTGCTGTTGGACGCCTACACCAGCGAATCTGCTTTTCTGGACAATCTTCGCAAGCGTTTCAGCGAGAACCTCATCTATGTAACGTAACCCGTTTCTCAGCTGTTTTCCTAGACTGGTGGTTCCCCACCCCCACCCCACCCCACCCCACCCCCCCCCTGCCTGTCTTCACAGCCTTGATGATAGTGAACAAAATCCCTCTGTTAGGTTAGTCCTTAAAGGGACGAGTGAAGGGACCACTGCCAGATGCACCCCGATGCTTCGTATTCGGCCTTTAGGGCTGCCAGTGACAGAGACCCAGTTTAAACAGGCCTAACCCCCAAGACGGAATCTATCAACCTATGTCACTTTAGGGACCAGAAATAGATCTAGGGTCTAGGGTGATGAGTCTCGAAGAGCCTTGAGGGCTCTTTCTCCATCTGGAGGACTGTTTCCCACCTCTCTGCTCGCTTTTGCAATGGTCTCTTTCTGGGGCCAACTCTGCAAGGTGACAAGGTGGTCAGCAGGACCAGGCTGATGTTGGTTCAGAGACTATAGCAAGTCTTCCCGGAGACATAGACATTGGTTGCCTCTGATTGGCCCACGTGGGGTCATGTCTCTACCTCTGAACCAATCCCCGTAGCTAGGATGAGGATTATTCTGATTGGTCAGGCTATTTACCCAGGCCCAGTCCTGGAAGTGAGGGGCGAGGCCAGTGTGCACCTGACAGTAGGATATGGCCTGGAGAAGGTTCCTCAAAGGAATCTGCTGCAAGAAGGGGGTCTAGATACCAGACAGGCAAGCATAAGAGATGTCCACCGCCTCCCATGAATCTTCAAGGCTGCAACATTTTACCAGAACTGTTCTTAGCTTGGTCTGGTTGCTTCTAGTGGTAGTCAGTTTTTAACTTCTCCATTTATCACCCCACCTTGATTTGATTGATCAGTTTTCAGGTAAATTCCTTTAGGGTAAACTCCACAGTGTCTCTATGTGTGTGGTGGGGTGTTAGTAAATGTAATTAACTTTATTGAGATCTTATTAGCTTTTGCTCAGGGTAAATTAGACAGTCAAAAACAATGTAAAAATATTTGTCTCGCAGCTATTTTGTTCTTAATGGTGACTGTGACTTAGTTTGCATGTTGGAACCAAGGTTACTAGGAGAAATAAGCAAAGGGCTTCTCACAGTATATATTTTTAATTGTGGAAATAGATTTTATGTATGAGCAAAGGAGAAAGAGCATGGTGTGGAGAAGTATACATGGGATGATAGGATCATCATGAATAAATTGTTTCCAGTTTGAACAGATACACTTCAGAAACTATATTCTACCCTGGAAGATTTCTACTGATGGAAGCAATGCAGATTTTTAGTCAAAATATGGTATTCTTATCTGTTCCAGTTCTCTGTGTGACTTGGTCCTAGAAATTAGAAATGTTCGTGAGCATGATTTCAGGTGTAATTTAGCATAACCTTGGGAACCTCCAAAATGGAGACTCTGGAATGAAAACCCATAACAAACTCAGAATTGGAAAACTCCGGATGCATTTTCAAAGGAGCCCAAATGTTTTCTTTTTTTTTTTTTCTTCTTTTCTCTTTCAGAGGTTAGAGCTTTGTTTATTCCTAACTGTATGCCAAGAAGCTTTTCCACTAGTAGTTTTATTACAAATGGAAGCACTTGAAAAACTTGACTCGTAACAGAATCCCGCATTGAAATCCAGGGAAATAGCAGCGGGAGTGTTTTACCCAACTGGGGACGGCTGGGATGCATACCCACCCTGCTTTCACCCAGTGACCAGAGAGACCTCTGCGACACATAAACAAATCAGATCGAGGTGCTCCCTTCTTAAAGCTATCCATCTGACGTAACAGCTTAAGGCAGCCATTTCATACAGTAGGGAGAGTGGTGTCTCCACCATGCACTGCAGTTGGAATAAACCCCCAATTCTTCATGCCCTGTGATCTGAACTTGCTCCCTCTCGGACATCAGGTCTTACCATTTCCGTTCTCCCCTCCCCCACTGGGCTCCAGGACAGTCAGCCTGCCACATGTGTCCCCTCAGCCCGACTTGCCCTTTCCTGCTTCCTTTTTTCCTGACTGGCTCCTCATCCTTTCAAGTCTCAGCTCAGAGTAACCCCCTTAAAGAGGACTTCCCTAAGCCCAACAGCTAAGGTGGCCTTCCTGAGTCATACGCGTTCTCATTACCCTATGTACCCCTTTCTTGCCATTCTAACTGAAGCAGTATTGATCCCTTGGTTGGTTGTCTGGCCCCGCTCCCCCGCCCCATGCACACACATGGAAGCTTCATGACAGCAGAGACACCACCTATCTTATTTATTGTTTTATATCCCCAGCGTGGAATGAATGCATGGGGATCATAGCATGTGATGGTCTTTGGCTATAGCCATTTGCACCCCAGAATTCCTCACTTGTGCTTTGGTCTGTTCCTCTAGACCTATATTGGGACCCTCCTTGTGTCTGTGAATCCATACCAGGAGCTTGGAATCTACACTGTGAGCCAGATGGAACTTTATCAAGGGGTCAATTTCTTTGAACTGCCACCGCATGTGTAAGTAGCACGTACGAGGGTCATCGATAGTATTTTTCTCTTTCTTTCATCTCTCCCTCCTTACTACTCATCCACCCATCCACCCACCCATCAGTCCAAATCCTCGATGAATGCTCATTAGGTTCTGTACCTCACTTAAACTGCTGCCTTCTTGTGAAATGTCTTTCAGTGCAGCAGAAAACATCAGATCATTGTTGAGTCTCAGCTTAAAAATCACGAGAGGTGGAATCTTTTGTAACTACCGAGAGATCCGAGAGCGTGGCTAGAGAGGTGTCTGTCTTTTCCGCAAAGAGGTTTGCTATAGTGCCATCTACTGGTGCCTGGGTATCATGGCGGCTAAGGAGCATCCCCGTTGGTAGCAAGACTTCAGATCCATAGGACAAGCAATTTCCTGTCTGATCTATATGTGACTCAGGCTTTGCTGAATTTCTCAGTTCTCCCTGGTTGACTTCTGGACTAGTATTTAGGCTCTCCCTGCATTTTTCTTGGTGATTCCTCTATTCGCCTCCTAAGGCATTTATAAACCTTTCTGCATCACTACCACCAACAGTTTCCCAAATAGCCAGCTTTCAAACTCCGCCACGTGGGAAGATTAGAGTCTTGGGAGATTTTCATGCTTTGGTTTCTGATCTTGAAGATAAAGCCCTTATAATAGCTTTATGTCTTGTCCTTTAGATATCACAGAGCTTTTAAGATATTTTCAGTTTCCTGTCTCTGTACTCTTAATACAGTAGGTTTTGAGGGAAAGAGGAAACATGAGATCTTAGTATATCCACTGAGCGTTTAAAATATTCAGACAAGATGTTATTTCCACCTACAGTTAATAGAGCATCTCCTGGGGATATAATTTAATATCTGGCTTATTCTTGTAAGAAATGTTGGATTTTTCCAAATAAATTCTTTCCATTAGGAAATGTCCATTATTGCTCACATTCTCCATTTTAACTCAACTGTTTTGAGTATTGATTTCTAGAACACTTTATGCGTGATCAGTCACTGGGGTCGTGGTCGAGTCTGACATCTGAGCTCAGTGTCTTGTACCGCTTGTCTGGATGTGGTTTCCTGGAGGCAGGGAGCTCTGATGATGTCACCACTGAGTAAGCAGCATCCTGGCCACTTCGCACTCCTTCCATTTCTGCCCCTACTCCTTCTCCAGCTATGCCATAGCCAACAATGCGTACCGCATGATGTGCTCTGAGCTAAATAACCACTTCATCCTCATTTCTGGAGAGAGTGGGGCAGGGAAAACAGAGGCCTCCAAGAAGATTCTGCAGTATTTTGCTGTGACCTGCCCAATGACCGAGGCGCTACAAATAGCCCGTGACAGACTGCTGCTCTCCAATCCAGTTTTGGAGGTAAGTGATCTTTGGGGACCTGTGGAAGGGGCAGTTCTAGGGAGGTTACTCGGCAAGAAGAATCCTCTGCCTGGGCAGGTCGGTCAAAATGGGCAGGTCACCATCCGGGAGTTAAGCAGAGGGGTCTCAAGGGCAGGATCGTGGTTAAGGGTGTAACTCTGATGTCCAGCAGGCATGGCTGCCAATCCCAGGGCAGCCATGTGCCAGCAAGTTTCAGCAAATCACTCCACATCCTAGATCCTGTTTGCCTTTCTGTGGAATGGGTCTATTCAAAGTTTCTACCTCTTAGGGAGCTTTTGAGGCTAAAACAAGATGGATGCATAAAAAGCACCTGGCAGAATTAGTAGGCACTAAAGTCATTAATATTTTTTCTTATTTAATTGGAATCATCTTGATTATTCTGCCATTGCAATTCACTCACTTGCTGGATGATTTGGAACAAGGTGTTTTATTCTGGGTTTTTGTTGCCCTTCATGTTAAAGATGTTTGTGGTTGAAGGAACTTTCCCAATGGACCTATGGCCTGAACAATTTACCTCTTTGATATAAAAAGGGGTCTGGTACTGTATGTTCTAGAAGAGCAAGGACGTGGGTTCCTCTATAGCTGTCCATGTCCATAGTCATTCCTAGATTGGATGCCACAGAGAAGATATTTTTCCCTCCACTCTAGCTCCATCCCAGTATTTGGCATCAAATCCTCTATACTTAGTGGTTCCTTCTTAGAAGATAAAGTATGGCTTTCATCCCTGGCTCCCCTTCTCTCCTCCATTTTCATAATCATGGCATTTGGGGTTAGGAAGTTGACGAGCACAGTGAGCTTAAATGACCATTCATCACAGTTTGGTTCAGTCTGTCCCTGTCTCCTTCACTTTGTATTCCAAGGCTTTTGGAAATGCCAGAACACTCCGGAACGACAACTCCAGCAGATTTGGAAAATACATGGACATACAGTTTGACTATAAGGTACACTGAAGTTCCTATTACTGCTTCATGGGGACCCCATAACTGACCAGTGACAGAAACCTGACCCAAGGTACCTTAAGCGAGGAAGGGCTTTATTGGCTCAAATAATCAAAAAATCCAGGGTTAGGGCTATTTTGGGAAATGCAAATAAAGACCACAATGAGATACCATTTCATACTTTCTAGGGGGGCAAAACTTAAGAAGTCTGGTGATACCAGCTATTGGTGAAAATGTGGATAATTGGGAACTCTAACACATTGCCAGTGGGGTGTACATTGGTGCAGCCCATTTGGAAAACAGTATATTATCTCGTGGAAGTTGAAATCCACATAATCTAAGGTGGAGCCATTCCACCGCTAGAGATACTCTTATCGATTTGCAAGCATGCCCACAAGAGCCCTGCTCATCATGGTAAAAGGACTGGAAATGGCAACACATTTGGAGGACTGAGTGTCCATTGACACAATGGCTAAATGGTGGGATGTCCACCCAGTGAAGCGTCACATAGCGAGAGCAAATGCATGACATCTAGCTATACATAACACGGTCAAGTCTTAGGAATGTCCTGTGTGTCGGGGTGATGCCATTTTGTACAAAGCCTGAGAACAATCCCATGTAAACAATGTATTGTTTAGGCATGCATAATTATACAGCATAGGTCGGCAAACGTTTTCAGCTAGGGCCAGGTGGTCAATTTTTAGACTTTGCGGACCATATTGTTTCGGTCACAACTACTTGGCTCTGCAGTTGTGGGATGGAAGCAACCAGAGACCATCCCTAATGAAAGAGTATGGTTGTTGCACAGAATTTAAACGGGGCTAATGCAGGTCGGGGAAGGTCGACAGAGTTCTCAAGGACATAGAATTGCATGTGACAAAGCACGTCACTTGGACTAGAGAACAGTCGTTGGCTGAGCATTGAGTGTAGTGATGACAGACTGGCTAAGGCTTTTCCGGAGCCTGGTACGTGGACTTCTGGCGAAGTGTGCCTAGACTTTGGAAAAAATTGAATAGTTACATCTGTCTTAAAACCTCTTATTAAAATTCAACACACATACTAAAAAGGACTCAAGTCGTAAGTACAGCTTGGTGAGTTTTACGTGTGTGTATCTGCCTGTGATAACCGACACTCAGATCAAGATAGAAGAAGTTCTAAGGATGCCTGGGTGGCTCAGCCGGTTAAGTCTCTGTCTTCAGCTCAGGTCATGATCCTGGGGTCCTGGGATCAAGTCCCATATCAGGCTCCTTGCTCAGCGGGGAGCCTGCTTCTCCCTCTCCCTCTGCTCCCCCTGCTCGTGTGTTCTCTCTCTCTCTCTCTGACAAATAGATAAATAAAATCTTTTAAAAAGAGTGTATGAAAGAAGATATAAAAATTCCTAGTGCCTAGAAGAATCTCCTACCCTTCTCTGAAAATACCTGCCTTCCCAAAGGTTACCAACTGTTCTGACCTCTATAATCAGATTAATTTTGCTGGTTCTTAAGCCTCATGTAAATAGAATTATACAGTATGTTCTATTTTGTGTCTGGCTCCTTTCAATCAACATTCTGTCAGATTCATTCATGTCACTTCATTTAGTGGTTGGGCATTTTTGGCTTATGTGACCTCTTCACTATTTATCTGTTCTGTTGATGGACATTTGGCTTTTCCGATTTGGGGCTATTGCAAATAGTGCTCTGAACTTCCTTGCCCGTGTCTTTGAGTAGATATTAGCGCTCACTTACGTTGGGCGCATGCTCAGAAGTGGCGTTGCTGAGTTCTTACCAGCAATATTATTATGACAATAATAGTTCCCGTTGCGAGCAGGGTTCTCTACACCCTTGTCAACATTTGGTGTTGCCAGTCCTCTTGGTCTGAGACATTCTGGTGGAGTAGAGTGGTTTCCAGCTGTGATTAACTTTTGTGTTTTCTTGATTATAAATGAAGTCCTGATAACTGGCCAATTAAAAATTTTGTGTTAGAGCCTTTTGCCCCACTTTTAATTAGGTTGTTTTTCTCCTATTGATTTGCAGGAGTTCTATATATGTTCTGGAATACAAATCCTCTACTGGAATATTCTTTTTTTTTTTTTTTTAAAGATTTTATTTATTTATTTGACAGAGAGA